TAAGTTCTATCTAAACAGTGATCTTACTATTTACCAACTCTTAATTAGTGTTTTTGCAGCTTGATTGTATTCTGTAATATGTAGGGTCAGTGTAACCTTTGCTCCCAGCCTGTAATTCCCTTTTACAACTTTGAGAAACTTGTCTCCTGCTACTGCTATAAATCCGGGGGGCCCTTGTCCAGGAGGATAAACAACTGCCAAAGTACTTAGCCAGCTGCTTTTCTGCCTGGCATGAAACATTTGCAAATCTTTAAGCTCATTTTAAAATACAGGCCTTGATCAGATGCCTCAATGGGTGAAATGATGTCAGTGGCAAGGAGACTTCTGGCTCACCTGGCCTGGGACAATGGGCCAGGTGTGTGCAGGTGTGCCCCCCCCCCCAGTCCAGAAGCCGTGCGAGATTTTTCAGCCAAGCAGGCCAAGGCAATATTATGATTACATGTATTAAAGTAACTTAATTTTATTAAATTTCTATGACACCCTTCATCCGGGGATCATATGCTTGCTTGACCTTGACCTCCATGGCTTGATTTGGTGGCATTCACAACCTTTGTTCTGTGGGTTTATGAGTGCCTGGGAATGGCGAGGGAAAGGCTGTGAGGAAAAGCCTTCTCTCTTTCTCCATCACTCCGCCCCTTCGACAAGTCTAAATGGAAGAATACAATTATGTCTAGAGAAAAATAAAATTATAGGATAGTTGTGAGAAGATGGGGTAGCAAAGGATGCTGGGAAGAAGGATGTCAGGGAACTGAAATGACACCTAATAAAGGATAATTTATCAATAAAGCAAATATGTGATACTTAACAAAAGACACCTTAGGATTAATTTATTTAGTTATACATTGGAAAATAAGTAAATTTCAATTCTATAATTGAGGATCCTTGTTTGTGAGAAGAATGGGCAGCAAAGCATGCTGGGAAGAAGGATGTGAGGGAAATGAAATGAAACCTAATAGAGGTTAATTTATCCATAAAGCTAATAAGTGAAATCAAACAAAAGACACCTGGGGATTTATTTATTTCGTTATACATTGGAAAATGAATAAATTCCAATGATAGGAAACAGGATAGTTGTGAGAAGATGGGGTAGCAAAGGATGCTGGGAAGAAGGACGTGAGGGAAATTAAATGACACCTAATAAAGCACAATTTTTCAAGAAAGCTAATATGTGGCATCTAACAAATGACACCTTGGGATTAATTTATTTATTTACACATTGGAAAACGAGTAAATTTCAATTATAGGACACAGGATCCTTGTTTGTGAGAAGAAGGGGTAGCAAAGCAGGCTGGGAAGAAGGACGTGAGGGAAATGAAATGAAACCCAATAGCTGTTAATTTATCAATAAAGCTAAGATGTGATACTTAACAAAAGACATCTTGGGATTTATTTATTTAGTTATACATTGGAAAATGGGTAAATTTCAATTATAGACACAGGATCCTTGTTTGTGAGAAGATGGGGCAGCAAAGCATGCTGGGAAGAAGGATGTGAGGGAAATGAAACCTAATAGAGGTAAATTTATCCATAGAGCTAATAAGTGAAACTAACCAAAAGACACCTTGAGAGTGATTTATTTGGTTATACACTGGAAAAACCAGTAAATTTCAAATTTATTGATGCTGGGAATCGACCATTGGCCTGACAAAGCTGGCAATGCATGCTGGGAAGTCTGCCCCCCCTCCCAGTGTGGACCAGGCTGGCAGAGGCTGGCGGGAGTCGCAGGGCCTTTTGGAGGTGGCCCCTTCCCCTCCGAGGGGATCTCAAAGCCTGGCTCCATGGCCCTCCTGCCTCTGCCTCCGCCAGGGACACCAGCGCCTGCAGCCCATCCAGCTGCACTCTGCACGCCCTCAGAGGCCGGAGAGGCTGGCAGGGGCAGGGCCCCCAGGTGGGCCCGGGAGAGAGAGGGGCCCCTGGGGGATTTGCACTCTGCACGCCCTCAGAGGCCAGGGAGGCTGGCAGGGGGAGGGCCCCCAGGTGGGTCCGGGAGAGAGAGGGGCCCCTGGGGGGATTTGCACTCTGCACGCCCTCAGAGGCCGGAGAGGCTGGCAGGGGCAGGGCCCCCAGGTGGGCCCGGGAGAGAGAGGGGCCCCTGGGGGGATCTGCACTCTGCACGCCCTCAGAGGCCGGAGAGGCTGGCAGGGGCAGGGCCCCCAGGTGGGCCCGGGAGAGAGAGGGGCCCCTGGGGGGATCTGCACTCTGCATGCCCTCAGAGGCCGGAGAGGCTGGCAGGGGCAGGGCCCCCAGGTGGGCCCAGGAGAGAGAGGGGCCCCTGGGGGATTTGCACTCTGCACGCCCTCAGAGGCTTCGTAGTCTAAGCTCAGGGGGCTCTCTGAGCCAGCATATCTCGGGGGGGTGAGGGGTTTCTTCCCATTGGTCAACATCCTTCTTAAATAGTGGTGCCCGGAACTGGACACAGTATTCCAGGTGGAGACTGACCAAGGCAGAACAGAGCTCAGTCTTGTAAGCCACTGGTATTAGTTGCAATAAAAGTAATAATAATCACAACAAGAATAGACTTCGTTAACAAATATTTATGCTGCTTAACTGTGTGTGCATTGCAATCCCTTATTCATTGTTGTGCATAGTAATTTTAAGTGCATTCTTAATATTACAATCAAGGTGCAATACTTTTAAGATGCATAATTTCTTTAAATATAAACACAGGAATAAATGAAGCTCTAAATTCATCGGATGATGACCTGTGCCACAAACTGGGAACCAGGCAGAGGGGCTTCTCGGTAGTGGCGCCTGCCCTGTGGAACGCCCTCCCCACCTCCTTTCACAATGACTCACCCAGATCGGCGTAGGCGGCCTGCCACTCCCGTGAGCGCCGGAGTTCCCTCTCCCCTCTAACCCTATCCCTATCCCTAACCCTGGCCAATGCAATAAAATTCATTGGATCCCAGTCAAGGCTTGGCTAAGGTCAGTTGCTACTCTTTGGAACAGGGAGCAGAGCTTACACAATACAGAAATTAAACCAACAGACTACGGAAGATGTCTTAAATGAATTTCTCAGTTTATTGATATACAAAGCTTAGGAGAACGAAATGATGTGAAGTGAGCTTATGAATGATAGCGCATAAATGCGGGAAATGGAGCATAGAAAATTGAATACATAGAACTGGCATAACCAAACAGTATTGTGGAATATTAGAATTGATATGGTTAATAGGTAGTCATGACAAAGCAAACAGACTCAAAAACCTAACTCTTCTCTCCTTCCAGCCTATCTTGTTGTGAGATAAATATAAGTTCCCAAAACACAAAATTATTAAAAGGTAATAGTTTACAAACTAAGGGCAGCAGACCAGGACTCATGGTAGTCCTTGGCAAAGCAAGGTAGCAAAACATTTCCTCCCATCTTACTGCTCATGTCAACAGGACTACACAAAACCCAGGCTAAGAATGAAAACAATCTCAGAGATGGAGAATGAGCAACATGGAGGAGTAGCTGTGTTTCCTTTAGGCACTTCTGGACATCAGGAACATGGACTATTTTAAGAATCAGATGCCCCTTAATTCCTTGTTGTCAGGTGCTCCTTTGTGTTCAGATCAGACTTCAGCACAATAACGTAACACTTGGGAAGGAAGATGCAGCCCAGAAGCCCAGCACTGGAGGCCAACATAGAGAAGATCTGCACGGCCACCATGTACTTGCCCTTGGTGCTCAGGTAGGTGGGCACAAAAGACACCCAAACACTGCAGAAGACCAGCATGCTGAAGGTGATCAGCTTGGCTTCGTTGAAGGAGCCAGGCAGCTTCCTGGCTAGGAAAGCCACCGTGAAGCAGGTGGCAGCCAAGAAGCCCAGGTAGCCGAGGGCAACGTAAAACATGGCCACAGACCCTTCGTTGCATTGCAGGATGATCTCTTCCACCTGGGAGTGCATGTCGGGCTCTGGGAATGGGGGAGAAGAGCCCAGCCAGATGGTGCAGATGAGAACTTGCCCCCCAGAAGAGGAGATGACAATGGAGTTGGCCAGACTCTTGCCCAGCCATCTCCTCACCCTGTTCCCGGGCTTTGTGGCCAGGAAGGCCAGCACCACCGTGATGGTCTTTGCCAAGACAGAAGAAACAGCAACTGAGAAGATGATGCTGAAGGCCGTTTGTCGGAGAAGGCAGGTCTCTTTCCTTGGGCGCCCGATGAAGAGGAAGGAGGACCAAAAGGAAAGCAGGAGGGAGACGAGCAGGATGTAGGAGAGGTCCTGGTTGTTGGCTTTGACAATGGGAGTTTCCTTGTATTTAATGAAGATTCCCAACACAATGCCTGCTGTTAAGGACAAGAAGAGGGCAACGGAAGCTAAAACCATTCCCAAATATTCTCCATAAGTCAGGAAAATGGTAATCTTGGGAACACATTGATCTCTGTCCTTGTTTGAATGGTGATCTTCTGAGCATTTGGTGCAATGTTCTGCATCTGGGGAAGAGAATAAGAGTGGCTGTAGCATCACTTACATCCCTAATGATCTGTGCTCTATTAACATTGTGATCTAGGATCAACTGAGAGGCAGTGACCACTCCACTTCTGTTAACTGCATTGTTTGGATCCTGCCTATTCCTCTTTGTCTGAACCTTTAAAATGCAGACATTGCTTCCATTCATTGTTCATAGCAGTGAGATCAAAACGGTTCATAGATTATATTGTAATAATTTTAACATGAAGTATTTATTTTTATTGTGCTTTTGCTGTTAGTAATTTGCTGCTTTTCATCGTCTATCCATTATTTTTGATAAGTGTCAACATTATTTCCTTTTTGTGTGGCTTGGTCCAAAAATTCAAAAAGGAATGCTTTGTGGGCATTCCTCTCACAGCTGCCCAGTTTGCACCCCAGATATTTCTTCCTTATGGTCATTCCTATCAACTCACTTCCTGGATGTAATAAAGGTGATTAATACTAAGGAAGTTGAGGAAGGATTCCCATTCCCCTATGTCTGCAGAATTCTCACAAAAAGTGTGTGAGACTGAATTTCTGCCCTGTGTTTACTCTCTCAAGGAATTTTTTCCCCCTTGGAATCACCCACCTTCCCGAGTGGAGAAGGTCCCTTCTGCACACTGAGCACAAGCATAGCAGCAAATGGGCTTTCCTTCTAGGACCACCTTGGCATATCCAGGTCGACATCTTTCTGTACACCTGGAACGAGGTACGGCCTAACCAGAAAGACAAGAAGGTGCAACAAAGAGGAACAGTTAGGAGTATTTGTGTGTATGTAATTCACTCAACGCGATCTCTAAAGCATGGTGGTGATCCCTGACAACTGGTCTTGCCAGCTCAGGATGATGGGAGCTGTAGTCCAAAGACAGCTGGGGACCCAAGTTTGGGAAACCCTGATCTACCCAAAGATTTGCAGTTGTGGCCCCCAATGAATCATTCAGGAAATCATCACAGCTCTACATCAATCACATAGAGGTTGGGGAGGGGTCTGTCTGGCAGGGAATCCTGAGAGATCCCAGTTGCCGTTTCCAGCAGCCAAGATCCCCAGTTGCCTGCCATCTCCCCATTCCCTTAATGCGGTCAGTTCTCTTTAGCTGCAGAACATGATCTCTGGAATGCAGCCTTGACCCCTCATCAGGGTCCTTTCAACCCCCCGCTGACCATTGGGGTGACCAGAATATCTTGTGCTTTAAATTGAGTTCAGTACAGCTGAGGTTTGAGTCACAGAACTTTGTTTCCTCTTCTCCATTTACCTGTTTCCCTTCTTAAAAGAACTTCAAAGCAAATGACAATGGGTCTGACATGTGATTCCTCCAAATTTCAGAATTCGAATAATCTCTCACACGGTTCATTCTTGTTTTTGTGTGTGTCAGAGAGAGAGAGAGAGAGAGAGAGAGAGAGAGAGAGAGAGAAAGCGCTTTGCTGTTCAATGCCCAACTGAAAGGAGAGTTGGGTTTTGGAGGTGTTTTTTTTGCCAAATTGCTTTAATTGATTTTCCAAATTTTACCACATCAACCACAAATTAAGACAAATTTAATACAAGTGAGCTTACAACTTTTAAAAAATATACAACAAATCAGTAATTATCATTTGTAAAATAAATTACTTTTCATCCTTCTGCATGTATGAAAGGTCAATATCCTTTATTTGAGCATCCCAAATTCCCCTCCTATCTCAGCCAGTGGTGTAGCGTGGGTGCGGGGGGGGGGCGCGGCCGCACCGGGCGCAACATCTGAGGGTTAGGGTTAGGGGGCGCAAATCCACGGGTTAGGGGGCGCAAATTACTTGCCTTGCCCCGGGTGCTGACAACCCACACTACGCCACTGATCTCAGCTGCTGTAGAAAGAAGGAGTGGTGGTTCCAGCTGTTACTGGACAGTCAGCCTGACATGGTCATTTTGCAGTGGTTGTTCAAGGAACAGCACAATCAGGATCTCCTAGCCCCCCTCCCCCAATTATTCCCCCTACCTTGTTGAATTTCTTGTTCCACTCAATGGCTTCTGGGTTAATGGTGAACTTTATGCCAGCAGACGTCTCTCTCCTTATATTCCCAATTTTCACAAGGTCACGAGACTTATTGGGATAGATCGCCCAGTTCATAATATTGAAGTCCGCTGGCACCTCCCAGTTCTCATCCAAGCACAGTCTGCCCCTGGAAGTATTCAGACACCGGATTTCTCTCAAGAAAGGGTGAAGCTGGAATGGCAGGGGAAAGCACCAGCATTAAGAAACTGGGAAGCTACAACAGGCAATTAATCAAGCCAAAATGGGGAAAACACCAGGGCCAGATGGGCTATCAGCAAAGTACTATAAGAAATTACAAGATTATTTGGCACAACCACTAAAAGATTTAAGATACTTACATTACGCTGATTCTGAAAAAAGATCTATTATCAGTCAAAAATTATAGGCTGATTTCTCTATTAAATAATGACTATAAACTGTTTGCAGACCTATTGGCAAACAACATGAAAGTGCTATTAATGGATTTAATTCATCAGGACCAGGCCGCCAAATGAAGGATAACATAGGGAATATAATTGATATAATAGAATATCTGGAGGTTAGGAATGATAAACAAGCAGTGTTGATTTTTATAGATGCAGAGAAGGCCTTTGACCATGTTTCATGGACTTCTACGGAGAAGACTATAGAAATGATGAATTTCAGAGAGTCATTACAGTGGTACCTCAGGTTAAGAACTTAATTCGTTCTGGAGGTCCGTTCTTAACCTGACGCTGTTCTTAACCTGAGGTACCACTTTAGCTAATGGGGCGATTTCTGTTCTCATCCTGAAGCAAAGTTCTTAACCCCAGGTACTATTTCTGGGTTGCCAGAGTCTGTAACCTGAAGCGTCCGTAACCCGAGGTACCACTGTACTTAGAGGAATTGACTCAATTTATTCTGACTAACAGGCTATGATGATAGTAAACAACGTAATAACAGAAAAATTCAAAATAATGAAAGGGACAAGACAGGGATATCCTCAGTCACCATTATTATTTTAGTTTTAGAGACCCTGGTCAGAAGTAGAAGATCAGATGAAGAAATAAAAAGGATAACATAGGTTAAAGGTAAAGGTAAAGGGACCCCTGACCATTAGGTCCAGTTGCGGCCAACTCTGGGGTTGCGGCGCTCATCTCGCTTTATTGGCAGAGGGAGCCGGCGTACAGCTTCCGGGTCATGTGGCCAGCATGACTAAGCCACTTCTGGCGAACCAGAGCAGCACATGGAAATGCCGTTTACCTTCCCGCCGGAGCGGTACCTATTTATCTACTTGTACTTTGACGTGCTTTCGAACTGCTAGGTTGGCAGGAGCAGGGACCGAGCAATGGGAGTTCACCCCGTCGCGGGGATTTGAACCGCCGACCTTTGGTCGGCAAGTCCTAGGCTCTCTGGTTTAACCCACAGCGCCACCCGCGTCCCAACAGTAGGTTACAAAGCATATAAACGCAAGGCCTTTGCAGATGACTATGTGGTAACTGTAGAAGACCCCATGGCTAGCCAACCAAGGGTCTTGAACAGATTCTCAAGTTGGAGAAGTAGCAGGTTTTAAACTAAATAAAGGTAGAACGAAAGTATTGGTGGAAAATGTGACAGAACTGATGATTGAGAAGAAAGTTTAATATTTAGGAGTATGGATAACAGCTACAAACATAAATATTTTAAAGAATAACTATACAGGAGCTTGGAAAGAAATGAAAAAAAAACTTAAATAAAATATATATTAAAAAAATAGAGATATCTGGAGGGTGGCAGCACGACAACAGGACTTTTCTGTGGTGGCTCCTCGCTTGGGGGATGTTCTCCCAGAGAGGCTCCCTGGACACCTTTGTGACAAATCTTTAGGTGCCAGACGAGAAAGTTATTCTGTAACCAGGATTTGGGTGGATTAAACCATCTCTGGGCATTTTAATGTGCTTTTGGTTTGCTTGTTTTCTTTCTTTCGTTTGCTTTTTCTATTCTCATTTTGTATTTTTTTTCTGCAAACCACCCTGTGATCTTCAGATGAAAGTTGATATATAAACAGAATAATACTAATATTATTACTACAGACCCTCCAAAGGTCAAAATGGCACCCAGTTGAGAGGTGCTGGAGCTGAGTTCCAGCGGGTTCCCCCTGAAGAAAGCTCTGGGTATAAATAGCAGAAGGGTCGTTATGGGATGGGACATCCCTATTTTCATCGGAGACATGTTGGAAGGTAAGCTACTGTTAATAATAGTAATAATAACTATGATATTTTACAGGTTTATCCCCAGTCAAGATCAGCATCTGTGTGGACTGCAGTTTGCAAAAGGGGGAAGGAAATACCTGCCACGGCTGAAGCCTTTGGGGTCCCCATTGCTCTCCTTCCTCCACCATCAGCCTCCTCTGGGATCTCGATGAAAGCGAAGCATGCAAGGCCTGAGCCACAGCTTGAACATTGATGTAAGTGCCATAGCTGTCATAAGACAGGACTATCTCATGATCCCCTTGGAGCAATGGCTGCAGTTTCTCCTCCTCTTTGCATCTTCTCCGGCCTTTCACAGACAACAGATGCTTTGAATATGAACACTGATAAGCTTCATCCAAAAAATCTCCAAGAGGATAGGACTGCGATTTATATTTCTCACCTTTGCTGCTCCTTATTCCAATCTGAATTTCAAAGGACAGAGAACCATGGAGGTGCTGGAATATATTTGGAGGGAAGGAAACGCCAATTCTGATTTCTAGCAAAGCTGTTGTGATCCAGACTTTCGCGCCTATTTCCTTCTCATAGATATTGTTTATTACCATGAGTATTATGATAACATGTGCATTGGTTATATAGGAAACAAATACCCCAACTTGTCTCCATAGGAAAAATGGTTCCCCAGGTGTTATAAATTCATCAAAATAACTTTCTGGTACTCTTTTTGATAAAGCAATGCAGATCCCTTTGCTGAGCATCAGAGGTTTCACAGCGCTCTCAAATCTTTCTCCACTGTCATTGTCTGGAGTGAAGAGGCCAATCCACGTCCATCCAAAATACAGGAGCAATTCAACAATCCCCTGGTACTGACTTTCCTCTTTGGGACTCATCCGGTAGACAAAAGGGAACAGGGATTTACCTTCGAGAACCTGGGCAGTGAAGCCATGACTGATCTAGCAAGGAAAGCAAAAGACCAGCAATTTACTTTAATTTCAGCATAACAGATATTTAATTATCTGTAATGACTGATATCTAAATCTCTGCTGGCTGACGCTGATGGGAGTTTTAGTCTGAAACATCTGGAGGTGACAAGATGGTGAAGGCTCAGTTTTGAAAAAGGGATGTAGGATCCATAGCTCAGGATTTTCCCATTTTTAAAAATATCCCTACTTGACCCCTCCAAAGAGAAAATAGAATCTTATGGAGTTGAAATCCTCTGTGCTTCCATGCTCTCCCACTAGATAGTTACCTGTGGGATTTTGTAGATGCCTGACAAGGCTGAAATCACTTTTGAGATGACAGTATTGCTTCTTTCAAGAACAGCCAGCAGGTGATTCTGTTCTCCACAGTGATAATTGGGAATATTGCATCCACTGCCTGCAAGCAGCTCTAGCATGGCGTCCGAAGTCATCTTTGCATCTAAATAGTTCTCATAGATGTTGTAGCCCAGGGTGATGTTGGGTAAGAGACTGAGATCCTGGTTGATCTCTTGGATGGTGAGCAGAAAAGACAGCATGTACCAGCAGAACCTAGTTGAC